AGGTATTTCAGAGTAGGAAAGGCCATTGGGAACATGAGGTATTTCAGAGTAGGAAAGGCCATTGGGAACATGAGGTATTTCAGAGTAGGAAAGGCCATTGGGAACATGAGGTATTTCAGGGTAGGAAAAGCCATTGGGAACATGAGGTATTTCAGAGTAGGAAAGGCCAGTGGGAACATGAGGTATTTCAGCGTACAAAAGGCCAATGGGAACATGAGGTATTTCAAGGTAGGAAAGGCCATTAGGAACATGAGGTATTTCAGAGTAGGAAAAGCCATTAGGAACATGAGGTATTTCAGGGTAGGAAAGGCCATTGGGAACATGAGGTATTTCAGGGTAGGAAAGGCCAGTGGGAACATGAGGTATTTCAAAGTAGTAAAAGCCATTGGGAACATGAGGTATTTCAGAGTAGGAAAGGCCAATGGGAACATGAGGTATTTCAGAGTAGGAAAGGCCAATGGGAACATGAGGTATTTCAGAGTAGGAAAAGCCATTGGGAACATGAGGTATTTCAGGGTAGGAAAGGCCATTGGGAGCGGGGCGGGCTACCGATGAAACAGACTACCTGCCTAAGACCACCCAAGGCTCCTCGACACACTTAAATACCTCATGCCGCCCCAAATTGCTTTCCCCTCACCCTGCCGGGCGGGTCACTTACCTTGTGAAGATCTAGCAAGAAGTCTTGTCTTCAGTCTAGTGCGCCCCTCTGCAGGCCTCCCCTGGCCCATTGCAGGCCGAAATGGAGCCTCTGTGGGCTGGATCCAGTCCTCCAAGGCTCCATTTGGCCCTCCCTCGGCTCGTTGCAGGCCGAAATGGAGCTTCCAGGGACCGGATCCAGATCATGGATTGGATTGCGGGCCAGGGGAGGGCTATGAAGGGGGGGTCCTCCTTGCAACCAGCTGAGGGAGGCCTCTAGATGGCCAAACGGGGCTTCTGAGGGGTAGGGTTAGGGTTAGATCCGGCCCTCAGAGGCTCCATTTCGCAGGCAACGTGCAGGACGAATGTTGCAGAGCCTCTGCGGTTGTTTGTAAGGGCGAACTACTGCTGTGGTGCAAGATTCGTAATTTCAGGCCTTGTTCAGAAACACTTTGGTGTGCTGATTGCGTGACTTTGAATGTTCACTAAGGAAACGCTCATAATCCGGGGATAACCTGTACCTTTGTTGTGTTGCAGCTGCGGTATCAGAAGTGTTTGGTCGCCCGGCCTCTTTCTCAGAAAGTCCGCCCTCCTCCTCCTCCAGCAGACTCCATGACAAGACGGGTCACCACCAACGTGAAACGCGGGGTCCTGTCCCTGATTGACACTTTGAAACAGAAGCGTCCTGTGACTGACATGCCATGACGGACCTGCGGGTTCACCCAGCCCGGGCGTTTCCCCCGAAACGTCACGCGAAACGAAACAGCAGCTGCGTTTTAAGAGAAAGAAGGTTGGATGAAGGCCTTCCTTCCGTTGGAAATCTTCACTTTCAGAAAAGTTACGGGAAAATAATATTAGACAAGCATGTTCTCACTCTTGCCGCCACCAAGTAAATATTGAAAAGAAGCATGATCTTTTTTTTTTAATGTTCATTTTATTTTTATTTTTATTTTTGCTCCGTGTGAGATAGCCGAGAAATGGAAGGCCTACTTTCTGATTGTAAATAGGACGGACGTGACTTCGATTCACACACCCTGAAGGCGTGGGTTGCATCAGATGATCAAACCCAACCCAAGGATTCCCATCGCCCCTGAGCACTTTCCCTCTTTTTTTAACAGTGAATTACACAACTAAGTATTAGTTAACTCTTGTATTATTATACTACTAATACCGAGCTTCTTATTTTTTACAAAAGAGCATTCGTGATTAACCTCCCATCTTGTGCGCCGTAGTCATCACGTCACCTCGGAGGTGCCAGCCAGGTGTCCTGCCGTGGCGAGAGACCCGTCCACGCAGGAAGGATTGTGCCAGCCAGATGACAACACCTTGTGGCAACCCCGTTGCATGCATAGGTCACACCGCACATCCGAGTGTCGCAACATCTGTCCTTCATTTGTCTCTTTCTAACACAAATGTACGTACAGTGGAGAAGACGGACGTGTACCATAAAAAAATCTCTTCTCTGTAGTTTGCGTGGTTTTTCTTTCCAGTGAAGGGCTGCCCGCGTGGGACACCAACACCATATTTGAAGTGGCCTTCAGTCCGAAATTGCATTTGTTTACATACTCGTCCATGTTTGAGAAGTTTGGCAGGGTAGACTGGGTTTTATTTCGGAACAGACTCCACACACACCCCAAATGCTGAAGACACCAAGGCTCAAGTGCCTCTTATCCTTTCGTAGATCCAGGTTATTCTTTTTCTACATCTCACCGGGAGATGTGACCACGAAACCGACCACAATCTGGATTTTCTCGGGACTGAAGTCGTGGATATTCAAATCGTGTCCTTCGGGGATTTTGGTGTTTTTGTTTTTTGTTCCGCAAGATCCGTTCTACTATTCCGCTTTCTTAGGCACTTTTATTGGACGGCGAGGTTGACGTAAGAAGCCATGCTTTCCCACGGTAGATGTTTGGGTTGGAACGCAAATCGACACGCGGCGGTTTGGCTTCGGGAAGTCCCAAGGAGGACATACCATGCCGAGCACCCCTCCCCCTTGCGGTGGTTCCTTCTACCTTGTGATTGCACCTTAACACAACCTGCGGTTTCCGTTGAGCAGGTGTGTCTGCAGGCCTTGGTTAAATAAAAAAAAAAGCCAAGACGATGGCCATGAGACCGGCATTGGAGCCCCACCTGGTTGTTACGGGCATCACAGGTGGCGCTTCGATCTCACTGCTGTGGCTGTTTTGGGTCACCCTTGGCTGATGCCCTTGTGGCTGTTGACTGTTTAATCCCTTTGTGTATAATTTTGATGGTTTGTATACCGTGTTGCGTGAGTTCACCCGATGCTTTTTCCAAAGGAAGAAGCATAGAATACCCACAGATCTCCTGGGGGGCAATGGAAGAAGGGATGGTATCGGGAGGAAGAGTAGGAAGCCACCTCAGATATCTTTGGAGCAAGGCTGGTGATCTGTTCACCGATGCTCTCGGTCGCAGCGTCTTAGGGAGGGGCAAATTGAAACCACGATTCCCATATGGCCAAGCGTTCAAAAAGTGCCCACTTACAAGCCAAAACCTCACCCCATTATCCTGTCCTGTCTAACAAGCATGAAGCAGAGTCTTGGTCCCGGCAAAACCCCTTTTATTTACACGGCTGTGAATTCCTTTCATTCACAGTCAGCAAGGCTTAGCAAACAGTCTTTCNGCCACTCCCACCAGGTCACATGGCCGGCAAGCCACTCCCACAAAGGAGGCCACACCCACAGAGTAGGTTCCAAAAATTTTTGAAATCCACCACTGATGTAGATAAGATGATAAGAGATAGACAGACAGATAACAGACAGATATAGATGCTCGGCCACATTTCTCTTAGGCCTGAATGACTCAAAAGAACAAGTACCCAAAACCAGCCGTGTCTCGGCTGGTTGAGCTTTAACGTGAGCAAGAAGAATCTTGAGTGCCTGTAATTTAAAAAGTAAATGAAGTTTCTGCATGACCAGTCATTCAAACCTGTGCCGTTTGCTGGCTGTAGGAGAGAAACAGCCCTGACTTGCTACGATCAATACGATAGCTTTTGCTTGAAAGCATCGCTATGCCTCTTCTTCTGTTTCTGTTTTCTTTCGTTGGGCTGAAGAGGATTGAAGTCAGTGGGTGGCAACCCTTTCCTCATCGTTAATGGAAAGACAGCAGGAGGACGGCTGGCGCGAGAGGGGGGCGTCCACCTCGCAAAGTCCCATACCTACACCAAGAACACAATGTATACCTCAAAATCTGTCTCCTTAATGAGGAATCAGGGAGTTTTCCCAACCTGGTGCCCTCCAGATAGATGGAACGACTGCAGTTGGGCGGACGGTTGACGTACAAGGTCAGCGTTTAAAAGTGTTCGAACAGTGATGGCGAACTTTTCAGCACCCGAACCAGAACGTCTGGGCATGTGCATGCATGTCTGCACGCCAGGATGCTGGAAACCTGAAGACCAGCTTGCTGGTGCACACACACGCCAGTTAGCTGGTCTTTGCACATGCCAGACCACCAGAAACCTGAAGAACAGGTGACTGGTGTGCGCATGCCTCTTTTTGGGCATTTTTAGCTATTTGGGGGGCTGTTTTTCAGCTATTTCCAGGCTGGTTTTTGAGCATTTTCAGGCTTTTTTGGACCAAAAAGAGCCTGGAAAAAAACGTGAATATGGCCCAAAAATGGTCTGAAAAACAGCCTGAAAATAACCTGAAATCAGCCCCAAAACAGTGAAAACAGCCGGGCAGATTTCTTTGCTCCCTTTCTAAAAGCCCTGGGAGTGTTGTTGGCTAATGGGAGGTGCTTTTCCCCCTAATCTGCCTGCCATAGAGACTGAGGAAGGGGCGTGACTGGGGGATGGGGGGAATCCCCTTGGCTGAAATTTGCCAAGCAGCCACTTCAAATGGCCACAGATGCCCACCTCTCAGACAGGCAGAGCAAAAAAATAAGCCGCTGTACCCAAAACACAGGATGATATTTATAACTTGGGATCTGGTTCTGCCAAGGGGCTCCATTTCAGCATGGCCATCTCCCTCCTTCTCTCTCTCTCTCTCTCTCCCTCCCTCTCTCTCTATTCTCTNTCCCAGCTTCTGCCAACCTAGCAGTTCGATAGCACGTAAAAATGCAAGTAGAAAAATAGGGACCGCCTTTGGTGGGAAGGTAACAGTGTTCTGTGGGCCTTCGGGATTTAGTCTTGCTTGCCACTGAGACGTCTTCGGACAGCGCTGGTTCTTCGGCTTTGAAACAGAGATGAGTAGCGCCCCCTAGAGTCGGGAATGACTAGCACATATGTGCAAGGGGAACCTTTACCTTTATGGCCAACTTCCCACAGCCAATTTGTTGCATCCAACTCGCCACGGGGCAAGAATGACACTAATATCAAAGAAGTGGTGGCATCGAATCACTAAAGAAAGGATGCAGAAGGAGGGGCAGAAGGAAACGCGAATGACAAAAATGAAAATATTTTAAAATTTTTATTTTAAATGTTTAGATTGAATGGTTAAATTGTCCTGCTGTTGGTTGTCGAGTTGGACATGGTGAGTTGCCTGCATCAAGTGGGCTGAGGCCAGTTATTTGGAACAAGAACTGGTGGCAGGAATTCTCAGGATTTCTCGGCCTCGGAAAAATTCATATCTCAGCTTTGGTGATCTGGTTTGTGCTGCCATCTACCGATGGGTCCGATAAATGCTTGAAGAAAGTTCACTGCACATGAAGGACTAAAACAAGCCAAGGGTTTATTCTAAGGTTAGTGGACCTTGGCAAGTCTGGCATGACTTAAGCTGACAACCGTTTTTACCCATTGCATTTTCGGTTGACGCCAGGCCAAGGTTTGCAATGAAGATCACCCTTCCGTAATCCAGATCGGGGGTCCCCAACCTTGGCAACTTTTAAGACTCGCGGACCTCAACTCCCAGAATATGACAAACTCTGGGAGTTGAAGTCCACAAGTCTTAAACGTTGCCAAGGTTGGAGACCCCTGGTCCAGATAATCCTGCATCAATAAGCTATTTGGACCCACTGAAACATTCACTGCTTGGAGAAGTTAGTAATCCAGCTTCTCCCCTTGACTTTGGGTGGGCTGGGGAAGTCCTAATTGGTGATCACATGACTCCAGGACACTGCAGCTATGGTTAATAAATGCTGGCTGGTTGGTTGGTTGGATGGATGGATTGATGGATTGATGGATGATAGATAGATATACTGGGAGGGAGGGAGGGAGGGAGGGAGGGGAGATACCGGTAGATGTAGATCAGAGGTGGGTTCCTACCAGTTCGCACCTATTCGGTAGAACCAGTTCGTCAAATCTACCGAACCGGTTAGAAGAGGTTCCACCAGTGGACCCGGAAAGCAGGCCACATCTATAGAAGAGGTTCCAC